CATCCAAATATCCGATCTTCTGCATGTATTGAGCAAGGAAAGACAGAATAAAAATGGAAAGTAATGCTAACATAGCCCTCAGGGAGTGAGCGGCTTTGAGACTATTTTAACTACCATCAACAGAAAGTGTACAGAAGGAAAAAATAGCACGACCTAGCCAAAGAGGATGCATGCTTCTTAATTACAACTAGATTTCAAGATTAAGAATGGTATGACTACAAAAAGAAACTGTGTGACAGCTGGTGTACTATCCTATCTGCATCGCAGGGTCATGAAACTGTTCGTCCTTTGGGTTGCTACCATCCCCACTATCTGCCAGCCAAATGTGGATGTAGACCCTACATTTTATCACGTAGTAGAGAAAAATAAAACTATGTCATTTAGCATTAGCAAAGTCTGAAGCAGGTATTCTCTTGATTTTTTAAATGTTTTAATTTCCCAGTATCTTCTGAACATTCCTTTTTGGGGATGATTTGATACATTTTCTGAATTGATTTTCAACTCTAACCACACCTGTCTGTGCCCTTCAGATGAGAGAGGAAAAATAACACACTACAGGGAAGCCTATTCTTTTACTGTTCGATAGTCCCACTCACCATGAGTCAGAGGACCTGGTATTCTGTGTCACCCTGTGGGACCTCACTTTCCCAGGGGGGGACAAAAAAATGACTAAGGAAAATGGAAAACTCACTGTCAAACTTGTACTTCACAGATATATAGGATGATCCTTACAAATAATTCTGATCTGACTGCTCAAGAAGTTTGGTTTCATCACGTAAAGTTGGCAGGATGTCACCCTGTGCCTGTGAGTTGGGTTTGGCTGAAAAATACATGGTCCTTGAATCATTTATTCAGCCCCAGCTACCGTGTTCACTGCTCTATATGCCTTCAGTTCTGTCAGCCACCATATGTGTTAGACTTCACTGTCTCCACTTAGCAAAGCAAATCAATGGCCATCCAGTGTAATTTATTAACCAGGCCAATTGGCAGGCCAGTGGCGGAGGCAGGCTTCCCAAAGAAGTCAGCCTGGTTCAAGTCTGAGTCCTTAATAACCACCACTGTCTACAGCCTGCTTCTTTATGGGACAGTCCTCTCCAGAAGAGAAGTGCTTATTGTCATGGTCATAACCCAGATAGGACAAGGGAAGCCTGTAGATAATATATGCCGTATTTTAGATATAGGATACGACACAGTCAGTAATGACTGTCTCTTTGATAGAGCTGATGGAATCCCCCCAAAAATAATCTACCTTTGCTTTTATGTGTGAAGAGCTCATTTTGACTAGCAAACTGTCAAAATGTTTGACTTTGACTTTGTGTCTGCCATCCTTTTCATGATGGTGACATTTTGTTACAACAATTCTTTAAGATATTTCTTTATATGCCTTTCTGCAAGCTGGCGCAGAGCTGTGAGGTTGTCTGTGAAATGTAAAAGAGATGTTCTGCAAATTATTTTAATAGTTCCCTCAGCCCTCCCTGTGGGCGTAGACATACCTCGATTCCATCTAAAGCTTTCAAGCCAGATGAATGTGCGGCCAGCCAATAATCCCCAACACGAAATTTCGGTGAAGAATAGTAATGGGTAACCAAGAGATTTTTAAGAAAATGTATATGTTCTGCTGCTTCTTGTAAAATGCATATTGTGGTGTTTGAACAAGGCATAATTCAGGATTCCACAGCTCTTTCTGAGGCTTATTTTGAAGTCATCCAGGCACAGGGATGGACAGAGTGGCTGTTATTTGAGCTGCTGCTGTGGGTGGAGACCTTATCCCACAAGGAGCCTACAGGGCCCCATGGGCTCCATTCACACTTTCTCCAAAAACGTGTGCTGGGCACCAGCCAGGGGCTAAACACGGGACTCAGAACTGAATGAAATACAATTGACAGAGTATGTGCTCTGTCGCCAAGGGGCCCAGAGAACAGGCATAAAACAGACCCATGAAAAATTAGAATACGGAGGTGCTCTGAACAAAAGTATTTTCAAGCTCTAGTAACGACACAAGAGGAGTCAGATGATTGACAGATGTGATTCCAGAAGCTTTGGCGGGGTGAGCATTTGAATTGTATCTTAAAATGGGAACATGTCACCAGGCAAAGGAGGGAGTGAATGTCAAAGAATGAAAGACCTTGAGCAAAGCTACAGCACCACGGGGATCTCGAGTTGTCTTGGAGATAGCCCGAGAGCCTGTTTATTTATTCATTTTAAGTATGTATCTAAAATAAAGTACATGATGACTGAGGAAGAAATTCTGGTAGGGATGCCAGGTTTGACATACATGGGACACAAATATTCTTTTAAACAAGACAGAGCCACCGTCGGGCATTCTTTATAGAGCACCTTTGTCCTACAGTGTGTAGGGCAGGTTCGGGTGGCAACACACTAGGGGAAGGGCCTTAACCGTCAGAGTTAGGGAACGGAGAGAAGCAGACACATGTGAGAGGGCATGGTAAGTGCTGGGCAATGACGGTTGGCTAATTAAATGCAGGCGGGTGAGCGCTCAGAGAAGGGAAAATGGTGGCAACGAACTAGGCCATGTGCCTGTTGCGTACCAGCAGCTTCCAGGAAGGAGTTTTGATGATGCCAAGTTAGCTCTCCTGGAAAAGAGTCTTATTCAGCACCAGACACTTACCCAGCTGCATCAAGTATATGCTGAAAACAAAACTAAACTAAGGCCCATACTATCCAAACCAGGGACTCCGGCAGACTCTGAGCCGGCACAGTTTTATATTTGATTAGGCAAAGATGGAGCCAATATGGAGATTTAATACGTCATTGAAATAATAAGAATCCCCCTAAGGGTATATTGACATTTTTATCTAGTTCAGACTTCATACCAAGAAAATGGACAAATGGAATTATTGGTTGGTGCGTGCTAAAATGACATCTGGTTTGGAGTATAGCATTAAAAATGCGTTATCCCTACTTTCTGTATAACTAATGAATATAAAGCTTATGTAATATCCTCTAAAGTGTTCATTCTCCATTTGTGCTAAGGAAAAAAAAAAGTGTAAATCCAGAAACTGGTTTGCTAATGCCCTAATAAATTCTGACATGTGAGCAACTTCAGCAGGATCTACAAAGTACTTAGAGCAGCCTCTCAAGTATAAAACAAATTCACTACTAAAAATAACCTGACTCCAGGCCTTTTAATAGTTTTCTCAGCTCACCCTGTGGGTGTAGACATATCTGCATTCCATCTGAAGCTTTCAAATCAGATAAATGTGCAGCCATCAGATAATCACAAAAGTAGAATTTCTATTAAAGTATGGGAATGGATTACCAAGGGACTTCAAAGACAGATATTTTGAGGTTTATAAAAATGTTCCCTTGGTTTGTCACAAACAATTTAATATATGTAGCCAGACTGAAGTTATAATGTCTCCATCATCAAAAACCTTAAACACTGACTACAAATTTATCCTAAGCACTAGTCAATTCTAAGGCTAGTAAATCTATTAAGCGGCAAGGAAACAGTTAAAAATGTATGGTGTCATGCTTGGGGTTACTTCCTGACTCTGCCATTCTCAGGAAGCTGACTCTCAAAATCTGAAAAGTTAAGAGAATACAGGATTAAAGACAAAATGCAATCACGTATAGCAAAGCATTTGGAATATAGTCTTACATATACAGAGATGCTCAGTAATTGTTAGGTGCCATTATTATTATTTTAGTTTCATTTCCATTCTGGCACTCAGTGGAAATTTAAGAGGTTGTGTGTGTAATTACCAAATATAATTCTTAGATTTAAAAAAATTTGAAAATGTAATTCAAATTGGGCTCTGATTTTATCAACATGCTATCACTTTGTTTTATCTGTTAAACACCAAGTTCATCTAATATATAATACAGACGTCTCATTAAATTTACCAACAAGTAATATATGTCTCTTTTGTTACCCTAGATACTCTGTTGAGTTTAAAGAGAATGTTAAGTCATCACATGGGCTCTGAGACACCAGGGTGAGTTAGAACATGAGTTTATTGCATGATCTGTGAGCATCTTAGCAGCAGAGTCCTATTTTTCTCTGAACCCCTGGCAGAGCCTAACTTAATCCTCTGTTTGAAGTGGGTAAGGAGCACATACATCGAATGGACAAATGTTTAGGAACATTGTGGAGCAGAAGGTATGCTTGATGGGACCAAGATTGTATTTCATTAGACTCTGACACCTCTAAATTCAGCCCAGTGCCTTCCACAGACCAGGATTTTAAGAAACTTTCTTGAATAAATGATATTCCTCGACTAAGGGTCTGGTCATCATAGAACAAGGTCTGTAACTCTTGATGAAAGTAACTAAAAACACGTGAACATTATTTTGCATGAAATCTCCCAAATGTAATATGAACCTCTAGTTAAACTATTGCTTCATAGTTATTTTTCCTACAGAGATTCTACAAATAATTAATACTAGTTAACTGAAGTGTCATGATTTTATTTCCTGATTTAATCTGTCAAATATATTATTAGTAAAATGTCCAAGAGGGGATTTTAAAAGGGGGGAGGGGTGGGGCTCCGGAAGATCATGAGATTAATCCAGAGTCAAACTTGGACATATGAATAGTTCCATTTTCATGAGTGTTAGTTAAAAGTATAGGTGGATGAGCTATGAAAATATTGAAGTAGAAAAGGGCCAAAAGAATTCTTAAGGAAAACTGACATTTAAAACCAATAGTGTATAAGGGAAAAGACTACTCCCATTAGATAACTACCCTGGGACTTACCTATATACTAAACAACAAAGATTTCACAGATACAAAATATGCTCAAGGAATGTGTGTATATTCAAAAGATATTTGGAGGAACACACAATTTAGGAAATAAAAGAGAATATGCAGATTTCATGTAAACCCCTCACATGAAAAGACTCAAATGGTCTTAAAACGCCGACGTTGTCTTCAAGGTGGGAGGAAACGAAAAATCCTATTACCTCCTTCGTTTCTCTTTGCCATTGACAAGTATTGGCTGTACCCCAACAAACTGACTCAGATAAACACAATGTGGTTTTCTTTTAAAATAAGCCTTTACTGAATATATCAACAAGGTACTGTATAGTGTAGAGTGAATTTGTAGTTAACAAAGTGTGCGACACGATAGGTCTCAGAGGATGAGCGATGCAGAATCTTCCAGCCCCCTGCAGTCCCTTGTCAGCGAGAGCGCACTAAACACAAACCAGAAGCAAATCAACATATATGATTCAAACAATAACACATCATCGGGATGAGCTTTCAGTGAAGGCCCGCTGGTCCTCTGAGGGACACACAGCGGCGACACCCTCACCTGGCCTCCGAAGGGTGATCAATCTGACATCCGTATCTCTACAGATGCCCCAGCGTGTGTCTGTGTGCACAACACGTGTTTTACACTTGTTTAAAAATGCCTGTTGCGGTGGCCTTGCTTTGTGCTCTTCTGGTGGGTGTGTTGCTAGAAAAATGAGACGCTTAGCAAAATATAGTCTGCTTTGTGTGTTATAACAACAGTGTCATAGGTGTACAAAACTTTCTCCCCACAGTCAGCGACAAGCCTCCCCCATCGCCAGCACGGCCTACCAGCCCTACTGGAGAAGCCAGAGGCCGATGTAAACGACAGCTTTCCAGGTCAGCATTCTGACTCGACAGTAAGAGCATGAGGCAAGGTTTGACAGGATGGGGAACTGGAAGGGGTCTTTTGTTTGTTGTGTGTATGTATCTCTTTCCCAACTGGGTACTATTTCCCGCTTTGCTTTCCCACGCAGCTGGAAAGGTAAGTCATGAGCAAAATCGTTACTCTCACCTTCTAAAGTGAAAATTAATGTCTCCTGGTTATGGGTTAGAGAAAAATGTGAACAAAAAACTTAATGGAAATGAACCAGTTCACTGTCAAAAGTTGCAGTGGGCTCTGCAGCCGAGGTGTGCGGTCAAGGGCCACAGCCGCCGCCTGTGGGCTGCGACAGAATTGCCTGGGTTTGGAAAGGGTGCTCTGCTCCCACGAGGAGCGTGTCCCTCTCAGCGGGGAAGGGGGCTCTGACTGCTGCGAAATGTCTAAGACCATTAGGATCCGCACTAGTGGGAAATGGAGCTGTAATATTAGCTACTTCATTAATACTTCTTAACGGACTAGTCACATTACACCTTTTTTAACCTCGGGAATAAAAGTTGTAATATATTTTCAACCAACATCCAGATCATTAGAAATTGTATTATTTCTCACAGGGTAGAAGGAAGGGAACAAAGTCCTTTCTCTGCCTGTGATTGTCTCACATGATGGGCCACTAATGCATCTGACAGTTTTGAGGAAAGCCCAGGGTCTCTCACCTTTATCAGTCAAGTCTCCTTAAACAAGCAGGTGTTAATGACAACCCTGGGCATGAATGATGGTCAGTAATCTCTCTATGATCATGACTATGCCTGTTCCTTTTAGAAGCTCCTGTGCACAGTGGTGGCCTACTGTCTGAAATCACCTCACAGGGTCAGACAGCAGCGAGCTCTTTAAAAGCCAGTGAGTCGGGCTTTGTTCATGGTCTTGGTCTGCACCTTCAGCCTTGACTCTCAACTAAACACTTCAAGATACAAAATGATGCCAGCTAGAGAGGCCCAAATACATCACCACATAATCCACCACTGATGGTTGTTGTGCAGTTTTCCTAAGATACATAAGACATTACAAATCCCACGATGTGCTTTTATCCTGCCGTAGGCGAGAGCCTCGGGCGTGTAATTACAAATGGGGGACTGATTTTCACTTTAGCCATCTCTGTCACGCTGTGCATGAGATGAGAGTAAAACCTGTTACTAGATTCTACCTCGTCAGGAGCACCTTCCAGCGAAGGAACGTTTTCCAATCATCCTAACCATTTCACATGACTGGATCCCCAAAGTACCACTTAAGGCCCAAATAATTCTGTGAATCCCTTAAGACGTTTAAGACACCTCTCCAGCCTTGGTCTTCTTGGCCCAGAGCAAATCTTTTCAGCAGCCAAATATCCCACTAGGGGTTATACACACAACACAAATAAATAAGAGTGATTATTTTGTGGATAAAAGAAAGAAAAAAAACCCTCAAAAGTCTAAGTACCATCATTTGAACACATAGTTTTATCTACACAGCCAAGGGGAAGAGGGCAGTGGAAGGGGATTATCCGGTTGGATACATAAAAGCCCATGTCATTGTCGTGCGTTTTGGGTGGCTCACCGCTTCACGGATCACCTTCGCAGATTGTCTCAGCCCTTCACTGTGTGGCCCTAGCGCTGAAAAGGTAACAGCCAAACCTCACTAGCTAACTGACTAACGTGGAGACCAAAATCACTGTAGAATTAATTCATTAATTCATAGTTAATTTCGGCTCTACTGACTGCACAGACAGTTTCAGTTCTTGTGTCTAGAACGTTATATCTCCAGTTATATTTTCTGCTTATTCTGAGGGACAGGGGGGATTAAAACATATAAGTTGGGGCTATATTGTTAAAGAAAATAAAGCTCTTACTATAAAGAAAAACTTGCATAGCATTTTATACCTAAACTTTTACAAAGGAGGCGCATCACAGTTCTATTGTGTTAAAAGTAAGAGACAGAGAGAAAGAGAGAGGAGAGAGAGCGAGCGAGCGCAAGCACAAAATGATTGTGACATTAACTTTACGGGTCCCTAAAATAATGGCCTGTGGTAGAGAAAACAGGCAACACAGGGTGAAATGCCTAAATTTGACTTTGAAAATAATTTCCCAAGGGTGTATTTTTTACATAATATATGTGATCTATAGCCCTTCTAAATCTAAGGGGTGGAAAAGAGGAAATTATATATACTTTCTGAAGATGGACATGGCCTCAAAATGACGTGGATTGAAGCATGGGCATCCCTCTCTTCTCTATGCCTTCTCCTCCGTGCCCAGCCCTGCCAAGATTAGGGGAACAAACCTTGGCTCTCTGATGTTCATTTTTCATCCGTTATCATGTTAATATAAGATTGATTATCCCTCCACAAGTCCCAAAGAAGAGGAACATCCAAGATTGAAAAGCAACAAATAAAATTTCAAAAATGGGACAGGATCAGTCAGTCCAAGGAGGAAACTCAATATTGTTTTTTTTTTAAAAAAAACAAAACATTATTTTGGCCAGCTTTGATGTGTTCTTATAGAATTGTTAGCAGTGAAAATTAGTATATATTTTAAAGTGTATATGGATATATTGTGCAACCAAGACTGGCATCCATAATTTTCTTTCAAATTTTGAGCAGGGGGGAGAAAAACAAACATAGCATAAACAGCTAATTACGAAAATACATGTGAGGTGATTGGAAGACAAGAATTTGCGAGGGGGTAAAGGTATTAATTCAAGCTATTTCAACATGATACTAACAAAGGCAGTTGACACAGTATAGCAGAGCCGCCGATCGCTTGCTTTTCTCTAAGTGGTATCCACAATTTGTAAAGAACAGGCTGCTTTAGTATATCCCAAACATCGATCCCTTGTGGGTCTAAATATCATGTTGACATAGCTGCAGTGAATCTACCCAAATAATTCTCATTATCAAAAATAACTCCATTCAATATAATCTTCCCATTATTTTTATTAGCCTCTTCTAAAAAAAGTATTCTAGAATATATCTCTGTTGAATGTGACTGAGCCTGACATATAATTTGAATAGTAACACTTTTAAAGGGAATTTTCTGGCCGGGACATCATACCTGTCCCCGAAGGTGAGTAAAGTCAGACTCGGGTCTCCAGCTCTGTGACCACATAGGGCCGGGGAGCGATTTTTAAGTTCCTGGTCAGACTGCCAACCCCCAGGTTTAAGGGTCTTTGCCAAACCCTTGATGCTGCCAGGTTGGGTTCACTTATCTCACAGGAACTGACTTCCTCTGATGCTTTCTCCGTTTCCTCTTTTGGGTCAAACCAGGGTAACTACCTCCCTTCTTATATTTTGGGATTTTTGAGCTTTCCTTCCAGGCCAGGAAGTATAGAAATAGCATGAAGATTTCCGGGCCATTCTTTGACCCCTATTTTATATCCTACCCGATGAGTCCATTTTCACCTGCCCTTTCTTCTGACCACGGCTAGGAAAGGAATTTATCCTGACAGCGTCAACAGCAAAGTGGTTCCTGTGCATCGTAAGGAAGAATCACTCGTCCTTTCGCCTTGGCGTTGGGTTCTCTGTACAACCCTGTACAGTACTTCAGCAACTATTTTTTTTTTTTTTAAGATTTAAAAAGCAAAGAGTTACAAAACTGTTTGTAATTAACTTGAAATAGAAAAGATAGCACTTTTTTTTTAAATCCCATTATATAGTACACCGTATAAATTACAGAGTATTCAAATGCACAAATGCATCTGGGTAACATTTATCAAATGTAATTTGCGTGTCTCTATGTGCACACACGTGTGTGTTCCCGGGAGGGCCACTGTCCGCCCGCGTGACGCTGGGACCTCGGCTGTCACGTGTGGCAGTGCTCCAGGTCTGGCACACTGCTGTTGCAGTATCGCATGTTGTTGGGGATGTGGCAGTCTGTGTAGTTAATGCCCCCGTTTGGGGTGTAAATGGGCTGCAGTCTGAAGTCTCCTTTAAGGAGCTGATCGTTATTTAAGGAGACGATCTGAAAGCTGGTCTCTGTCATCTCCAGGATGGAATTGTCCTTCTTGGTGCCCGCCTCGCAGTAGTCATCTTTCCGCCGGCCTCGGTTGTATTTCCACTTCTGGGAGGTGTAGCGCCCCTTTTTGTGCATGTGCCAGCAAAAGACGCTGAGCAGGACCACGAGCACAAATATCACGGCACCCCCGATCAGGCCCGCCAGCAGAAAGGGGGAGCCCATGCTGTGCGACGTGGTCTGCTCGTGGCTGGAGGCAGTGTTGCTGCCGTTGTTCAAATAGGAGGCGTGGGTGGTGGCCTCGGAGCAAATGGTGTCTTCCACGGCTCGGTAGTTAAAAGCATCCAGTGGCACCAGACAGATCCGGTAGGTGGATCTGGGCTCCAAGTTAACCAGGCTCAAATGTTGCTTCTCCCCGCTGACGATGCGTTCCTGAACAATGCCCCCGACTAAACTGTGGCCCATTTTCACCCACGTGAGTTTGTACGCCATCACAGTAAAGAGAGACAGCCAGCTGACCTGAATGGAAGTGTCATTCACAAAATGGACAGTCAGCTGGATCCGCTCGGAAATGGGTGGGGTCACCCTTTCCCTGCCCTCCCACTCGGGAAGCGTGGGAGGTCTGGAGGTGGTGGGAGTCGGAGGCGTGTAGCTTTTGCTAGGGGCTGGGACAGACAGTGTGGGTGGCTGAGTTGTTGGGGCAGCTGTACTTGGGGCCGGGGTGAAGACGGGCAGGCCGGGGGTCGTGGTGGGACACGACAGAAGATTCATATTCAACTCCCTGACAGCCATCCCCCGGACCTGCTCAGGACCTTGGCACATGAACCCCCGCACATTGAGAGATGAAGGGATGTATCGGAGCCACTCCGTGACCCACTTAATGCTGCAGTCACAGAACCAGGGGTTATTCCGAGCAGTGAGCTGCTTCAGGTTGGAGAGGTTATCGAAGACCCCTTGCGCCAGCACGCGCAGCTGGTTGTTGGATATATCCAGCCGCTCCAGCTTGCGGAGGTTGGAGAAAGCCGTCAAAGGGATGTGGTTTATCTGGTTGTCCTGCAGATACAGCCGGAGCAGATGCGTCCCTGGGAGGTCGGGTGGGGGGTGGGAGAGCGAATTCCTTACGATTGAAAACTCCTTGAGCTTGGTGAGGTGGCTGAAGGTGCCCTCGGCAATGCCCTTGTTGGTCAGGAGGTTCCCGTCCACTATCAGGCGCTCCAAGCTCGTGAGGTTCTGAAAGGCCATGTCTGAAATGACAGCGATTCGATTTTCATCCACCCTCAGCTCCTGCAAGTCCACGGGGAGCCCAACGGGGACACTGCTCAGATGATTCTTGGACAGAAACAGCAATTTGAGGCTCACGGCCTCCCGGAAGGCCCCTTCCTCCACCCCCACCGTGGATATGGAGTTGTCATCCAGGTGGAGCTCTTCGAGCTTCAGGAGCTGGGCAAGAGCCACCCGTGAAATGGTCTGAATGTTGTTTTCCTGCAGATGGAGAACTCGGACGTTCTTGGGAAGGTTCATGGGGAACTCATCCAGTTGGTTGCCATACAGGTAGACGGTGTGCACCGACTGTACGTTGTGCAGCTCTGCAGGAAATCCAGCATTATTAATTTGGTTGTTGTGGAGGTAGAGCACGGTTACGCCCTCCGGGATCCCAAGAGGCACTGAGGTCAAGCTTCGCTCGTTACAGTAGACAAAGTTCCTGTCACAGCGGCACACGCTGGGGCACGCCAGGAGTCTGGACACCTGGGAGTAGAGCCCCAGGGAAATGAGAAGCCAAGATTTCAGGAAGAAGGCCCCACGGCTGGGCCTCTGTGTGGTCTGCAGGCCCATTTCTGAAGTACGGAAATAAAATACAACGTGGTGGGGAAAAACAAAAGCAGAAAATAATAGATAGCAAACCAATAGATGACTGGATGGGGTCCTGTGAAAGTCCAGAACTCCAACTAGAGGAGATGTCCCAAAGGCCCGCGGTGAAGGAATCTTCTCGCGGTCTCTGGTCTTGTCAGCCTGTGTTGCCCTCCCTGCTATTGTCCTCCATGTGCAAAAAAAGGAAAAAAAAAATCAATAGGGAGAATTTTCTGCACAGGCAATGAATGAAGCCAAGTTATCGGCGCTCAACAGAGGCCCGGCTGGGCAGGCAGAACACCCTTCTTCGGCTGTAGGTCGGTCAGCGTTGGTCAGCCTATGAACTTCTTGGTTAAGCTCAATCTGCAATCTGTTGTAGGAAAGTAGAGAGAAAAGAGTCAGTTCAGTGTAGCAGTGGGAGAAGTGCCGCCCTGACTGTACACCTTTCAGGAATGATGTCACTGGGGCTAAGTGACTAGAGGCAGGTGACTGGCATTCAGTGATATTTTAAGCAACAGTAATTCAGTTGAAAAGGTATCCAAAGAAATGAAAATGACTCAATGACCTTCTGAACAAAACCATACTGTTACCTCTCACTGTCAATGATCACGCTGCGCATTTTACAATGCCAATCAGTATTTTCTCTTCAGTACCTATTTGCATATGCAAATAGACGGGCACCCCGCTGAGTCCACCGCATAACCAGAGCACCTACAAATTGGACTGGTCCAAGTCTTGTTTCCAGATGAAACAAGTGACCAAGGAAGCAATAAAATGTAAAGGGGGGGGGGAGGGAAACCCTTTCAAGTCACAAATAAACCAATGCAAAATGGGACTGACAAAGTCCTTTAAAAAGACGCAGCCTTTTGATCTGACACGGTTATGGAGCACTACAAAGGAAGGCGCAGAATGTGTGAAGGCAGAGAGAAGACGCTTCTTCCCCTTTTCTTGCCTCCTCTCATCTTTTCTTTCTCCACAATAGCTTACATCTGGGTTGCCAAGTAGAAGGACCAAACCCCAGCCCCTGACATATTGTCACTTATCCCCTGTTTTGGGACCTCCGGGTACAGGTGCACTATGTATGCCACTGTGATCCCTTTGAGAGTTGCAGAGCTCATGACTGGGAATACATTATTTTTCAACAACACAACCTTCTGCCCATCTGTGTTTTTCCTGCCGTCAAAGAAGGATCTTCAGTAAACTTGGAAATGACAGAAGACACAGTTGCGGAAGTAAAGGCAACCCACGGATAGCGATCCTGCCTTCATGCTCCAGAACGAATCCCATCTGTTTTTAGATTACAGAGGTAAAGAAGCTAATTGAAAGGTGCCAGATTTGATTTTCCTACAAAATAAGCTAACATGACAAGACATGGAAAGCTAGGAGTCTCTTAATTCTCACCAATATCCGGAGATGGAAACAACGTATATCAAAAAGCAAGGAGGAACTATTTGAAATTGTTCCCTTAGCTATCTTGAGAAACATAATTAAAAAAGAAAAAAGTGTATGTGCTGTTTAAGTGTCACGGATACTGTAAATCTGTTCTACAATTTAAAAGGTGGTGAACCACCTAAAAAATGCTTTTCGTGACCAGAAATGGTAAAATTCATTACTTACTGTTCAGAAATCTTCTTTAAAAACAAATGATGGGATACTTTATAAAAATAAATAAAATCAAACATTATTTAATTTGTTAAATTTACAAATATATGGTTTGCCACAGAACAAGAGCCATCTCCTCTGGCAAAATCCCTCTATGCTTAAAGAATAATTTATAATAAAACCAAGAGTAGTATAGAAAAAATGAGTTTAATGCCATAGCTTGGTACCATCCTTAGCTCAGGTTTCAATTTTCAAACCATCTTAACATTTCCTAATAGTTTGTTATTCAAGTGTGATCCTTGGTCCAGGAGCATACGCTTGACCAGAAGTTGCTGGAAACACAGAAGCCACATATTAGGCAGAGCCTCAGTTGTGAACCCTAAAATCTGAGACACACCGCCCTGCGCAGTGCCATCTTATTTAACCATTCAAATGTTTTAATTTATTACATGTAAAACAAATGTAAGAGCATGATGTTAAATGACTCTTTAGAGAAAAGTAAAAGCATAAAACATACTAACCACTTCCGTCCCCAAGAGACTGTCTCAAATTATATCTTACATGTAAATGGCATTTGATAGGTGGAGCAGTGCACTGACTATACATGCCACCTGGCCTCAGCAGACTCTTGAAAAGGGTCTATCTGAATGACAAGCACTGATGTGTGGTAGGAGTCATTCGTAATCAGGGGAATCCACTTTTATAAAGCATGATTTATTTAAGAACAAAACACTGTTTGGTGCTATAGCATTTACTCTTCAAAGAGGTAGGAAATGGAGACTAAAAGAATAAAATCTAGTATATTGTTTAGTATTCCACAGGAATCTTCCAAGTGTGATAGTGACACACAGTGAATAAAATTTTGTAAGGTGGCAAAACAGCTGCTCTGGGGTCTCTAAATAAGTGCTTATGTAAAAACAGTAGATGCCTAGCTGTGTTTACACGCCAAGTTTTTAGGGCCTGAAAAACCATAAAACAGTAGATGCCTAACCGTGTTTACACGCCAAGCTTTTAGGGCCTGAAAAACCATAAACCAATATTTGAGGATGACAGAATCTACTTGGAAAGTTCCTCCGCTAACAGCCTCAAGGCAGTAATGGCTGGGAGTTAACCAAGTGCTCAGGGATGGAGACTCTCCCCATCTACCCAAATTGTAAATCTTCCACCCACCTGAGCTGTGTCCTGGAGGAACAGGAGGAAGTCCCTCTGGCCCAGGCCTTGCGCCCTTGCAGGTGGATGTTACTCATGGGCTCATCTTTTCTCATCACATACCAGAGGAAGCGGTCCTGCAGAGGGCTCCTCAGAGGACTGCATGGGGCCAACTGTCTACCTGCCTTCCTAGGAGAAAAGTCCCATCTAGATCACAGTGTGCTGATCAGCCGCAACAAGTGCCATTTGGAATGACAGCAAACGCCCAGGGTTTTCTGTGAGCTTCTTGGGAACCTCACAAAATCACAGTGCACAGTAGGCTGGCTCTCACCCTTGGGTCCACAGCAGCCTAAGTATTATCTCAGCCAATATACTGTACCTTTGTGCCAAGTAGCGCAAGTGTAACACTGCAAACGCGTAGAAAAAGACGCTTTTGAATTTCAGTAGGCTAACATTCCCTCTATATTTTCAGCTCTAATTCCTCCTAAATATTGAAAGCAGAAATCCTTTTAGACCTTAAGCTGGAGACGGTATTTACAGAGAAAGCAGCACAGAGTAATAGTCAGCAGACTGGGCCCTGAGTTCTCCTTCTGCCTCTGACCCTCGCTGGCCCTCGGGCTTTGGATACATTAACCTTCTAAGTCCCTCTCCTCGTGTGAGAAATGAGCTCCTAACTCACAGCCTCCTGGAGAGGATTAAGTTGGATAATATTGTGAAAAGCTTATATGGTGCCTTACAAATGGCCACAATGTAATGCTGTAGGCAGCTATTCTCTGCACACTTGTCATTATTAGTATAGGCGAAGGGGTAAACTCCAGCACCCACAGCAACCTAGAATCACCGCGGAGCCGCCCCTGTGCCCTTTCCCTTACGCCAGGATTTCTCAGCCTCAGACCACTGACGTTTGGAGCCTGACCATTCTTTGGTCGTGAAGTTGCCACGAGCACCCAAACGAGTCTCCAGCTACTGCCAAAGATACGTCCCCCTGGGGTGGCAAAACCTGCCCAGGCTGAGAACCACTGACATGCCCCATCTCCCAAGCACCTTAGAAGGTCAGCATTATTGTTGTGATTTTACAGAGGAAACGGAAGGTAAGTTTCTAATAAATGGAACCTAAAAACGCTCCTTGCCATGGGCACTCAAAATGCAGTATGTTTGTCCTTGATTTCCCAACCGGCATTGAGTGGGCACTGGGAGAAAGATGGTCTTCTGCAGAGCTGGCCTGGCTGCTGGCTTCCTGAGGCTCAAAGCCTGGCGAGGGGAGGATTCGGGGGCAAGCAGGGAATTACGGTACCGCGGGAAGCGCACCGGCCGGGGGCACCAGGGAATTACGGTGCTGGGTGCAGAGTGCGAATTTAGCCCATGGGATGTCCTGAAAAACGCTGAATGACAAGGACTGTCTATGTGACGATCTGAAGAATAAACAGGTGCAAGCAAGAGAAGATTCTAGAAATTCTACACACGGATCCAAGCCGGTTGTACGTGGGCCAAGAGGCAAAACTCAGCCCAGCTGAGGAAAGAACTTGGCCGGACAGCACTTTGCCCCCACTTTGGTCTGCTCCTCACTGAGGCAATCCCATTTCTAGATGATCGGGCCACAGGCCCATGTTTCACAGTCACCAGGAGTTTCATTTGTAAGCCTCTACTGCGGGGAATAAAAAGGTTTTGCTTCAGATCAAGATGCCGCTCAAATATTCAGAGCCAAAGTGGTGTTTTTTCTCTTTTCTTTCGTATTTGTTTGAATGCCGCATTGAGGACATTTCCCCTCCAGGAAACTGGAGATTAATAAAGAAAGGCTCCATGGAAGGCACTAGGTAAAAACAGAAATTTTTATTTAAAAGCAGAAAACAGTTTCAAAAGCCAGGGTGTAAATCAACTGGCAACCACCGCTCTTTGGAGGCAGCGAGACCAGGCCCTGCCAGTCTGCTGAAGATGACGGGAACAGCAGAAGTCCTTCCAGGGTGCTTTACTTCAACTCTTTTCATCCGAACTGCAACTCGGAGCACACAAATCATGGAAAGGCTTTCTGCAAAGTGTCTCTCTCCTAGTGCTGCCTAAGGAGATTTTTTAAAATTAATTCCAGGAGCCTCTATTCCAGGAGCGCTTAATAAACTCCGGCTATAAAAATCATAGCTGAGAAAATAGGAACTGTCAATAAGCAATGCCAATTGCATAATATAATGACACTAGGACAAACCTAATAAAATCTTAATGGTTTCAGCATTGGCTGGATTGTGACGAGACAGCACAATGCGTGAAGGGATGGAAATGCGAAAGCTCAACGTCAAGAGAGGGATTCTCCTTGGAAAATTTCCGAGGGTACACCGGACTCAGTGCTTCTGGAGTTAGGCAGTTTGTGCTTAAAATCAGACGCACGCAGGTGCAGGATCCACAGGCCTCTCACTACACTACAAATGTCTTTGTTGCAATCTGGAAACACTAAAGCAATTTGAGATCTTGTGCACATTTCCACATTCCTGAAGATAGGTTATAAATACTGTGCATAGGACAATGAGGAAGGTGCTATAGTTGGTTGGCCAAGATGTGGGGATTAGCAGAGGAATTCGGGGGGAAATATAACAATCGGCTCCCCCTAACTTGAAATCATTTTTTCCATTT